GTCCTTGTCCTTCGCTCCCTCCAGCGCCTCACCACGTCCCACCCCGGAGAGCAGCGCGAGACGGTGCTGCAGGCCTACGTGAGCAACGACCTCCTGGGCTGTCACGGCTGCCAGCAGGTGCGGGCCAGGCCGGGCAGGGGCTCGGGACAGGACGGGCGGGCCAGGGACGGGAGGCAGGAAAGAATTCGGGCCATTACCAGAAGCAGCTGCTACACACAGGTAGCTTTCTTTTTATTAGTACCCGTTTGTGGTACAAAGCGATTACTGTCGTCATGGGGTACACGTACATACAACGTCTTTAGTTTTTACACCGCCTTCCTCTCCCTCCCGACTGCCTTTTCCCCCCTCCGTCTCTTTTAAAAATTATTTTGTTCTTTATATTTTTCTTTTCTTATATAAGAGAAACCATGCATTATTTAAATGTGTGTGTGATTTATTTCACCTAACAGCATGCATCCATTTTCTTACATGACTCAAGCTTATCCTTCTTTATGGCAGCATAGTACTCCATGGTGTGTGAATACCGTGTTTTATCTGTTTATCTGTGAATGGACACACAGGCTGCTTCCAAGATACAGCAATTAGGAGTTGTGCTGCTCTACACGTGGGTGTGCTCGGACCACTGTCATATGACCACTTTAACTCTTGGGAAGATACTTAGAAGAGTAGCTGGGTTGAATGGAATTTCTTGTTTCAGTTTTTTGAGGAATCTCTGTACTGATTTCCACAGTATGTGTTCTAGTTTACATCCCCCCCAGCAATGCGGAAGACTTCCTTTTTCCCTTGCAGCCTTGCCAGCATTTGTTGTTACCTGAAGTTGTGATCGTGGCCATTCTTTCTGGAGTAAGATGCAATCTTAGTGTTGTTGGTTTTGGGGGCGTTTTTTGTGGGGGGTGAGACAGGGTCTCACTGTATAGTTGAGACTGACCTGGAACTCACTATGTAGCCCAGGCTGGTCTCGAACTCACAGCGATCCTCCTGCCTCAGCCGCCTGAGTGCTGGGATTACAGGCATGCGCCACCACACCTGGCAGATGCAATCTTAGTGTTGTTTTAATTTGCATTTCCTTAATGGCCAATTGTGGTTTTTTGTTTGTTTGTTTGTTTGTTTGTTTGTTTTGCCACCAGGGATCAAACTTGGGCTCTTGCACTTGTGAGGCAGGTGGCAGAACCACTGAGCTCAGTCCCCAGCCCAGTTGGGGTTTTTATTTTGAGAGGGGGAGGTCTCATTTTCCTAAAAGTTCTTTATTGTTCTAGACATTAGTCCTCTCTAGCTGCCGGAAATTTTTTTCCCATTCTGTTGCTTGTCTTTTCACCCTTTTGGTCCTTGGCTGTGCAGAGCGTTTTAATTTAATGTGGTCCCACTTGGTCCCAGTAGTGCAGCTGGGTTTCTGTTCAGAAAGTTGTTGCCTGTGCCTTTGTCTTTCAGAGTTTTACCTATTTTGTCTTCTAGCAGGTTAAGTATTTCTGTTTTCATGTTTAATCTTTGATCCATTTTTATTTCAGTTTAGTATATACGTCTACATTCAATCTTCTGCATGTCAGTAGCCAGTTTTCCCAGCACCAGTTGTTAAAAAGGTTATCTTAGCCAGGGATGTAGCTCAGTGGTGCCACTGCCTGCCTCGCAAGTGCAAGGTCCCAAGTTGGATCCCTGGTAGCAAAAAAAAGAGGTTATCTTAGAGGGATTGAGGGGGAGAGTAGGAAAAGAAGCTATCTTTCCTACAGTATATGTTGTTGGAACTTATATGACCAAGGTCATATAACTGAATATTTGAATTGGGGGGGGTGTTGTTGCTGCTGTGTGTTTGTGTTTTCCAATACCAATACCATGCTGTTTTTATCACTGTAGCTTTGTACTATAACTTAAAGTCTGGAATTGTGATTCCTCCTGCCTTCTCTTGTTACTTAGGCTTGCTTTCACTATTCTAAGTCTCTTCTGGTTCCATATGAGTTTTAGGATTACCTTATATGACCAAGGTCATATAACTGAATATTTGAATTGGGGGGGGGTGTTGTTGCTGCTGTGTGTTTGTGTTTTCCAATACCAATACCATGCTGTTTTTATCACTGTAGCTTTGTACTATAACTTAAAGTCTGGAATTGTGATTCCTCCTGCCTTCTCTTGTTACTTAGGCTTGCTTTCACTATTCTAAGTCTCTTCTGGTTCCATATGAGTTTTAGGATTATTTCCTCTAGTTCCCTAGGGCCATTGGTATTTTGATTGGTGTTGTGTTAAGTCTGCATGTCGGTTTTGGAAGTGTGGCCATTTTGACGATATTGGTTCTGCCTGTCATGTCTGGGGGTGCGCACCACTGCCCCACAGCCAGTGTGGATTGTAAACACCAGTAACAAATTAAAAGAATGAAGCTTAAAACTAGGGAAGACACTTTATTTATAAGGGGAAAAAAAACCAGAAGACAGAAAGCTACCCTGTGAAAGATGAGGGTAAGGGGGCCTGGAAGATGGATACCCCCGGGCCTTGGTCCCCAGCCACCTTTATCATTTAGCAAATGATAAAGACCCTCCCTCCCAGCTCACACCCTGATTTGCTGTCCGGACTGTCACAGATGGACCCCAGGCCATAGGACCCTGACCCAGGGCACAGTCAGTTGCGTGCACGTTCCTAGATGGGCTTTTGTTTGGTTTCTCCCTGCCTGCTTATGGCCTTATCTCTGGAATTTATAGTTTGGTTTAGGAGGAAGCCTTGCACACAAGCTCACTTGGAGTTAGTGGTTAGGTAAGAGGTTTCGTGCAGCAATATAGTGGCCCTGGAGTGGGAGTGTGTGTGTGTATGTGTGTGTGTGTGTGTGTGTGTGTGTGTGTGTGTGTGTGTGTACTAAATGAGAGTTTTCTTTTACGGGGCCTCCGCTTACCTCCTTTGCATGTTCCTGGAGGGTGGGAGTTGAGTGCACCTGGCTCCTCTGCTTCTCCTCTCTCCTGCCATCCTCTGAATTGCTCCCCCACCGTTCTAGTCAGGATTTGCAGAAAGCCTAAGGATGCCCCTACGCTGCCCTTTCCTAGGGTGACAGACCCACATCACCACCTGCCTGCTGCTTCTTCAGCCCCTCTCATTCCTTGGCTGTGCCCCCCACTCCAGCCTTTGAGGAGCAGGGCCGGGCAATGGATCCGAGAGAGCCCCGGCCCTGCGCTGTCTTGGCGGCTGCAGCGCCGCCTCCAGAACTGTGCGGTTCCCTTCTCACCGTCCTTCTGCCTCCGTGACTCCTGCCCTGGGGTTTGCTGGGTGAGCAGGGGTACAGTAGGATGCGTCATGGGTCTCGGCCAAGTCCGTCAGGTGTCAGAGCGAGACTTCCAGGTGCCGTGATGGCTGTTGGTCTGCGTGTTTCCCAGCCAGTGCATTCAGGGGAGGAAGGGAACCAGGAGCCCCCCCTCACCCCGCATCTGTCCCCACAGAGGAGCGGGCTGCAGCTGCTGCATTCCAAGAGCGAGGTGGTCCGGCAGTACGCGGCCAGGCTCATCAACGCCGTGGCGTCGCTGGCCAAAGGTGAGCGCTTGCCCAGGGGACAGAGAGGGCCTGGGAGCCTCCGCGTATGAAAAGGAACCTTCTTCCCGGTGCTCAGGGAAGAGACGATTCTGCCAGCACAGTAACATCAGCTGTATGGGAGGCTGAGGCACCAGTTCCAGTCCCACCTGGGCAGTTTAACAAGACCTTGTCTCAAAAGGAAGAATACAAAAGATCTGGGGATGTAGCTCAGTGCAAAGGCCCTGGATCAAGCCCCAGTACCACCTCTGACCTCACAAAAAAGACACACTTTCACTTTACGCTTACTTAATTCATGTGAAGATGAGTTCTTGTCATATTGTGGTAGCTTCTTTCAGAGCCAATTTTATGGCATTTAGAGTTTATTTTGTAGCCTCTGTTTTATTGAGCTTCCTGGTTTTATATAACAGTATTGCTTGGATTTCTTCCAAGCTTGTAACAGATAATATTTTTTCTGTCATTTCCTACTTTCTACTTAGCACAAAGTAGGGCTGGCAGAATAGTGAAAGCTGATTCTAATAAGCACAGTACCAGTTCCTCCAAGGTGGGGCCAGCTCTCAGACCCAAGGACTGGACAGTCCCCAAAGTGACACGCCACCGTGGCTGAATTCACAGTGATTTTACTCAGTGCTGTGATTGCCCCAAACTTCCTGTTTGTTTGAGTTCTTTTTATTTTATTTTATTTTTCATACTGGGGATTGAACTCAGGACCTTGTACTTGCAAGGCAGGTGGTGGAACCACTGAGCTAAATCCCCAGCCCTCTATTTACTTTTTAAATATTTATTTAAATAGACAGGGTCTCACTATGTAGTTCAGGCTAGCTTTAAACCATTTTAGGCCAGGCTACCCTTGAACTTGCAGTGACCCTCCTGCCTCAGCCTCCCAAGGTTCTGAGACTACAGGCATGCACCACCACGCCTGGCTTGAGCTCTTTTCAACATGAACAAAAGTTTTCAAATTATGAGTACAGGATGTTCTGAAAGTTTGTTTATTCATTTATATGTTTATTATTCCATCTGCCAGGCATGCATGTATTCTAAGACAGGATACTGAGAAGGGTTCAGCTGAAGACCCTGTGGAAGCCTACATCTGGGTAGCGGAGCGTGGTGGCACTAGGAGGCCAGCCTGAGCTATATAGCAACACCCTGTCTCAAAAACAACAAAGCAGGCTGGGTGTGGTGGCGCATGCCTGTAATCCCAGCACTCGGGAGGCTGAGGCAGGAGGATTGCCAGGGAGTTCCAGGCCAGCCTGGACTACACAGTAAGACCCTGTCTCAAAAAAAAAAAAATCAAGCAGGGCATGGTGGTTCTCACCTGTAATCCCAGCATTTGGGAGGCTGAGGCAGGAGAATCGCTGTGAGTTCGAGACCACCCTGGGCTACATGGTGAGTTCCAGGTCAGTCTCAACTACATAGTGAGACCCTGTCTCAAAAAAACCAAACCAAACCAATATAAAACCAACATCAAAAGAATGGTGAGTTAGGTCAGTCTCAACTACATAGTGAGACCCTGTCTCAAAAAAACCAAACCAAACCAATATAAAACCAACATCAAAAGAAAAATTAACATCTCAGTATTGGTGTGGAAGTCACACAGTTTAGTGACCATTCTGGGCTCATCACAGTCTGTGGCTTCCTGAGGATGCAGGCGCATGGCCAGAGCCTACTTAGCTGCCCCCACGTCAGAGGCCCAGGGAGCCACAACAGAGGCCCAGCCCTTTCTCTCCTCAGAGCTGACTGTTTGAGTCATGTCAGGGCTCCCCACAGGTACACGGCAGCGGACTATGCTCTGTTTACAGGAAGAGTCATTTTCTGTTGTTTCTTGGTATTTTGAGACAGGGTCTCCCTGTGTAACCCAGGCTAGCCTTGAACCCTCAGTAATCCTCCTACCTCGGCCTCCTAACACAGGCGTGTGCCACCATGATAATGACTTCTTTTCTGACATGAATGCTGTGCTGCATGTCCAGTTTTCCAAGTGCTGGGGCGAAGCAGACCCATCTGGGCCTCTCCGGTCCTCCCTGGTGTGTCCTCAGGTCGCCTCTACCTGGCCCAGAACATGCAAGTGCTTCGGATGCTGGAGGGCAGGCTGAAGGAGGAGGACAAGGACGTGGTCGCCCGTGAGAATGTGCTCGGGGCCCTGCAGAAGCTCAGTCTCAGGTGACAGCCAGGCCTGGGCCACGGGGGCTCCAGGGAATCAGGCTGTGCTTGGGAGCTTACTCAGCTCCGGGGCAACCCGGGAGGCAGGCGACATTTCCTGTGGGAGAGGCGGGTCGGGGCTTCTGGGTGAGGCTGCAGGGACAGGGCAGGTCCTGCAGTGACAGCGCCTCTGCACTCTCCTGGTGCCCCCAGCCCTGGTGCCAGGCGCTGGCTGTCCCTCCCATGAACAAAAGCCCCAGGGTGCTCCTGCCTCTCACATCCGAGTGTACAGTGGCCCTGTGGGGTCCCAGATGCCTCCTGCCCCCTCTGCTTGCATCCCACAGCCCGACACGGTCTCCACCAGAGCCTGGTGTGACTGGAGACGCCTAGCAAGCAGCCGGTGGAGAGGCCTCTGTCCCCCGGGCTCTGTCGAGAGCCCCAGAGCCGTGCGGTGGCAAGCCAGGCGTCTCGGTAGACTGCAGGGCCGTCGCCCACCACCGCGGCCTAATTTCGGGCACTCAGAGCATTTCCTGAGCCGTCCTCCCCCCACCAGGACCACAGCTACCGGCCTGGCTGTTCTCCAGGCTCGTCCCCATGAGGTGGCCCGGGTTTTGTGCCTCTGTTGCCCCACACCGTTCAGATCTGCTCGTGCGCTGCGTCTCGTGTGTCCACTCGTCAGCTGGTGGCCATTTGGGTTTTCAGGGGTTTTTTAATGTTTCTGGGGCTTCACACTGAACTGCATCCCCAGTGCTTCTTTTAAGTTTTGGTTTTTTGGGGTTTTTCCTTTTTTTTTTGGTACCGGGGATAGAACTCAGGCCCTTGCACTTGCAAGGCAGGTGACGGAACCACTGAGCCGAATCCCTGGCCCTAAATTTTTATTTTGACACAAGATCTAAGTCACCAAGTTGATGAGGCCGGGCTTGAACTTGGGATCCTCCTGCCTAAGTCTCCAGAGTAATGGGATTAGAGCCGTGAGCGCCACACCCGGCAAACCATCGGTCCTTTTGCTCTTTATATTTTTTCTTTATTTTCATACAGTTTATAATGGGTAACCAAATTATAAAGAGCTTATAAAGATTATAAAGAGCTTATTTAAAAATTATAAAGAGCCTATTATAAAGAACTAAATAATAAAAAACTAAATCATAAATTATACATTACAGTTTAGATAAAAATCTTTTTCAAGAAGTATTTCTTTGGGCCAGTACCTTTGGTGAAGTAGACTGAAAATTATCAATATATATCCATTCAAATTGTTTTGTTTCTTTGATTTTCAAAGATCTTCCCGCCTCAGCCTCCCAAGTGCTGGGATACAGGCGTGCGCCCCCACGCCAAGCCAAATATCCATTCAATATCTAGAGTAATGCTCTCTGTTAGTAATTAGCATTAGTAATGCTAATTCTAAATATGAAAAAGGACACTCCCGGAGCCTGAGGCCTCCTTACTACCTCAGAATTCACTGTCTCCCTGGCCCAGGGGTCCGAACCACCAGTGGTACCTGCTGGACGTCCCATGGGACAGTGTAGGGCAGTCCCGCGGGTGCGGGTGCGGGTGGTTGACAGAGTGTGTTAAGCTCCTTACCGCACCGCTACTCAGCGGAGGATTTGCGGTGCTGTGGCTGTGTGGCGGCCCTGTGGGTGTGGCAGGAACAGGCCTCGCGGCTGATCTGCAGCCAGGTCCTCAGGGCGGCTCCTGCTCACCACTCCTGTGTGCTAGGCGCCCGCTGCAGACCGCGATGATCCGGGATGGCCTCGTCCTCTGGCTGATGGACGCGCTGCGGGAGCCCGACTGCCTGTCCGACTACACGCTGGAGTACGCGGTGGCCCTGCTCATGAACCTGTGCCTGCGTAGTGCAGGTCTGTGCGGGGCGGGGCCGGGCTACAGAGGGAGGGAGGGAGGGTCCTTTGGAGATAGCGCAGGAGGCAGGGCCTTGGAGGAAAGGCTCTGTACCTGCAGGCCCCGCCCAGAAGAGGGAATTTCAAGGTTGGGAATCACTCTGGGTGTCACGTCATCCCAGCACTTGGGAGGCTGAGGCAGGAGGATCGATGCAAGTTTGAGGCCAGCCTGGGCTACATAGTGAGACCCCATCTGAAAAAACAAAACCCCGAGAGAGAAGAGTGTCCCCAGTATTCCTCAGTGTGCCACATACCCTGCCGGTGATCACTCCCGCCCCCCAGCTGAGGGTTCTCGCTCGGGCCTCACACGCAACTTGCTTCGCTGAGCTGAGGCAGTGGCCTTAGCATCCCTGCCTGGCGAGGGGACAGAGGGCCTTCGTTCCCTGAGATGCAGAGCCAGAGAGAGGCAGCCCCTGCCAGAAGGTCTGTCTCAGGCTGGCTCTGGCCCCTGAGCCACCTCCCGGCGTGCTGACTGAGCCAGTGACAGCTCTCTCAGTCTTCTGCTCCGAAGGAGCCTCTGCCCAAAGCCCCAGGTTTTAAACTTGCGAGACCGTGAGCAGCTCGCTGGTGGTGATCCAGGGTGCGCTGTGATTTCTGCCATGGTGGCCTGGCGCTCGGGACAGGACCTTGCTCTGCAGCGGGTGACACCGGAACCAGCCGTGCCCAGTGTGGGACAGCACCCCAGCCCCCAGTCCGCGGGGCTCCACGCACCTACGCCTGGGTGTCCTTGGCCCAGCCTTTGAGGGCAGAGTGGATTCCCTGTCTTACGGAGGAAGAGCCTGAGACGCCACTGGTTCAGTGACTTCCCTGGGCCACAGAGCAGGTCCACCCACCTGGAAGCTGCTTCTGAGTTGGGATGTGCCGTGTGTCCCCAGGGAAGAGCGTGTGTGCCAAGGTGGCAGGCCTGGTGCTGAAAGTCCTCTCGGATCTCCTCGGGCACGAGAATCAGGAGGTACGGGGCCGGGGCTCCTGAGGGGACCCTGCATGAGGACCAAGGCAGTGTGACCACGGCCTCTGGGGCAGCAAGCAGCCTGGGCAAGGTGGGGGTCAGGGCAGAGGTGCCCGGCAGAGGCAGGTGGGTTTGGGAGTTGACGCAGCTGCAGTGTAGCGCAGTGCGGCCAGGGCGGCTCCTCGGGCGGGCAGGGGGATCGGCAGAGCCATCTGGGATGCCAGGGGTGTGGCACCTGTGGGTCGCAGGAATGGCTTCCGAGGCAGAGAGGGCTGGGTTTTGACTTAGCTGTAGCTGTCACTGGAAGGTGCAGGCAGCAACCTCTGCTGTTTGAAAGCACACATCCTAGGCTCAGCTGGGCCAAGGCAGCGGTGGTACCCACTAACTGAGCTTGCAGTATTTGAAGACTGCAAATGACTGCTTTTTACCCTCTTACAGATACAGCCGTATGTGAATGGAGCTCTCTACAGCATCCTTTCCATTCCGTCCATTCGGGAGAAGGCCAGAGCGATGGTAAGAAAATGTGCTGATAATCCTGGCTTCTCAGGAGGCTGAGGCAGGAATGTCCCAAGTTCAAGGCTAGCCTGGAGAACTAAGCAAGGCCTTGTCTCAAAACAAAAAGGACTGAGTCAGGGATTTAGCTCAGTGGTTCCACCACCTGCCTCACAATGGCAAGGACCTGAGTTCGATCCCCAGTACCAAATAAACAAAATAAGTAAATAAATAAAGGGCTGGGGATGGAGCTCAGTGCAGAGGCCCTGCGTTCAATCCCCAGTATCATAATGAAAGAGCGAAGGAAGGAAGGGAGTCAGGAAAATGTGCCAAGCCATGCAGGGGCTCCATCAGCCCCCGTGGTGCCCTGGCTCAGAGCTGTGGAAGCCAGGACTGCCCGGACTGGGCTCTGAGGACTGGACTCTTCTCGTAGTTCATGGGCTCCATGTTTGCTATTTCCTGGGGAGAGAGCCGAAGGGGGCCCCTGAATCCACGGTGTTAGGACATCTCTGTCAAGTTTATTTTTTACAGTGTCATAGATGAGCGGCTAGCAGCCAATCAGATGAGACAAGCTGCAGGATTATACACCTCCCAGTGCCTGGGTTGCTCGACACAGCGTGAGCGCACTGTTTAATGAATGACTTCATGTTGCTTGTATTTGAAGCAAAGCACATGTGTCAGGTGACTAGTTTGAGAGAGCAGATGTCTCTTGATCAGCAAAACCACCAAGGTTTGGTCTTTTGCCTTACACCGTGGGAAACCAGGGTAGCGGGGTTGCTTTCCGTGTGTATACATTTAGTTTGGAAGGTTGAAGTGTGTTTTCTTTCCACACTCGAGACCACAGGCTACATCCAGCTTGAGACCAAACAGAACATCCTTTCAGTTCTTGTTGCCTGCTGAGAAGAATTACTGCATCTTCTCCGTGGTCACCCAAATTATGTCATCACGTGTCCCAGAGACAAAGGTTCATTTAAGAACCGCTCTGCGTGACTGCTGCTTGAACTTCATTTAAACCCAGATCTGCCTTTTTCAGTACAGAGCAGAGGAAAAGAAACTCGATTAAATTGTGCACCTCGGCAGGCCAGCTGAAGAGGAAGAAGGGCAGAGCGCTAAAGAGTGCTTGCCCAGCGTGTGTGAGGCCCTGGGCTCCACACTCAGCGACACACATACACGCGCACGCACACACACACGCACACACACTGAAAGGCAGCGGGAAGTAGACAGCTGTCAAAGGGGCGGGGATGCCAGGGGGCAGGGAGCTTGTGAGGAGCGGTCCGAGGTTGAGAGCAGGACCAGGAAGCCCAGGAGAAAGCAGGGGTGGGGGGAGAAGGGCAGAGCCTCAGGGCCTCGGTGCCCGAGCTGGGACATTGGTGCAGCACAAGGCCCGGGAGAAAAGGAGGAGAAGAAAGGCCAGGTGATAGGGACAAAATTTGGTGAACAGCATAGGCATAGCCATGTTTAACTTTAAGAAGAAAACTGGGATCGTGGAGACAAAAGTCTAAGTCTGGGCTTCTGCAGAGCCGGGTGCTGGCCCGCACTCCGGCTTCCCTGTGGCTGCTGACTGCACAGCGACCCCGTGCCTGCCCCGGGCCCGGGCCTCAGCAGTGAAAACAGAAGCAGCCACAGTGTCCAAGGAGAGAGGCCCTGCTAACAAAATTATGGTGCTTTTGCTCAAAATAGTAATAGTAAAAAAAAAAAAATAGTAAAATATCATAAAAATATAAGAGCTCTGGGTTTGCAACTGGATAAAACATTTGTGTGTTTATGGAAAGTGACAGAACATACAAACAAAAGTATATTAGTTCCAAATGCTGTTATGCTGGATATTTTTTGTTTTGTTTATGTGTGTGTGTGTGTGTGTGGTGTGTTAGCTTTCTGGGTTTTTTGTTTTTTGGTCTTACTATGTATTTCAGGCTAGCCCTGGACTCGCTGTGTAGCCCAGACTGGCCTCAGGCTCATGGTGATCCTCCTGCCTCAGCCTCCTGAATGCTGGGATTATAGACTTTTGCCAGCATGCCCAGCTGTACTGGTCTTAGCGGGGTGTGGGGGCTGAGTCCACTCTAAGTGCCTAGCTGGTGTCTGTCACCAGCCTGTGCCTTTGGGCCTGGGCTTGGCCAGATCCGTGTGGGACTCTCGCTAGGAGGATTATTACAGCGTTCACCATTTTTGGAAAGCAGTTTCAGTAGTGGTATAATAATCATCAAAAATGTTCCCATTTTTGCCTGGTAATTCTGCTTCTGGAGCCCCACATGCAACGTGACCAGTTTTCTGTGTCCACTGCAGCATTACCAGCTGCTTTGGAAAATGGGACACAACCTAAGCGCCCAGCTTTAGGAGATGAGGAGGTTGGACTGGAGAGGAGGAAGGGGAAGTAGTTAAGAGCCCACACTGCCTGGGTCCTGCTTGGCTCCTGGTTTAACCTCTCGCCTCACCCGTTTTCCATCCCCACTGGGGGGATTGGAGTAGCACGCAAAATACACACCCAGTGTGCACCTGACGCAAGCAAGCATCCAGACAGGTCTCAGCTGGGGTCGTTACTATAGCCGCTACTGTTCTATAATTATAGCTACTGTGACCAGTACCATTTTGTAAAATAAGTTTGCATTGACACATAAATTTTAAAAACAGCACTGTGAGCCGGGCATGGTGGCGCACGCCTATAATCCCAGCACTTGGGAAGCTGAGGCAGGAGGATCACTGAGTTCAAGACCAGCCTGGGCTACATAGTGAGTTCCAGGTCAGTCTCAGCTACATAGTGAGACCCTGTCTCAAACAACAAACAACAACAAAAATAAATAAATAAATAAATAAATAAAATTTAAAATTAAAAATAGCATTGTGTTCATCAGTGTGACCTCAGTGATGTAAAACAGTCCCCACAGAGGAAGGAAATACCTCTGAATGCTCAGTTACCTGTAGATGGGGGCTTGTAAGAGGTCGTTATTCTTTTCTTGTATATTGTTTATACATTTTCTGCAGAAAACCTATATAACTTTCCTAACTGGTGGGAAATACTTATATCTACCTGATATTTGAATTTCTAAGGGGAGCGCGTCCCTGGGAGACCTGTGGCGCTGGAAGAGTCATTTAGGCCGGGACACAGCGCAGGGTGGGAGAGATGAGCAGTCGGGCCAGTGCTGGCCACACTCCAGCCCTCCTCTCAAAAGAATTCTGCGCAGTATTTTCTCTCTTAACTGCCGTAACACAAACTCGGTCTTCTGAGTGAGGACAGCTTGAGAGTCCCCACTCCAAAACGGAAGAATCTGGAATGCTCTGCAGTCCAGAACCTTGTGAGCACAGGTGGGAAACCGCAAGTGCAGAACCCTACATCATGAAACCTTGCTTCGTGCACAAACTGACACCGTGGCTGTGTGTAAGGTGTTCGTGCCTCGTGAGTGCCTCTGGCCTGGATGCCTTCCCACGGTATCTCAGTACGCACAGGCTAATGTTCCAAAGCCCGATCGCACCCGGCACACTGTGTCCTCATTTCCTGCACGAGCCTGGTACCGGGCCTGCTGTAACTGTCCCCTCCCCATCTCCCGAGACATTTTTATTTAGCCCAGGTTATCTGAAGCAACAAGTTACTACTTTCAGGATAAAACGTTGACATTTTTATGATTTTTCATTTCTACAATTTAGATTAAACATTAGTTAATATATATGGTTTTTTAAAAATGAGCAGAACTTCTCACTGGAGTGTTTTCTATTAATAATCCTCTTTACAGAGCACTTCCTTGTTTATTTTCCAGGTAACTGTGGAACTAGAGATATACAAAACAGTAAATGAGAATAAAAAGATCTTTAAAGATATGACTGGGTAATCACTTGCAAGATAAGCGGGCGCGCCTGAATGAGCTCTTTGTCCCTTTCCTTCCTCTGTTGACTGTCCAGGATGCCGCGATCCTCTGCTGGCCGGTGATCCCTGTGGTCCTGGGTGCACAGGGGCCGGTCACGGCACTGTCCCTGGGAGACACCCTCCTCCTCCGGACCCTCACCTGGGGGGACACGGAGTGTCAGGGACAGCTTGGTGCGAGACAGAGACGTCGAAGTCTGCTGTCCTGCAGCATACGGTCCCGTGCTGCTCTCCCCTTTGTGTGCCTGTCTAGCTCTGCCGCAGGGAAGGTCTTTGGGTCTATGTCCTGTACCCTCCTGTGCTCTTCTCCCCCTGCTGTCCCCGAGGTGGCACCTTGTTCATCCCTGTGGCTTCAGCTGCACTTTAAACCCCTGCCAGGCCCAGCAGCTCCCGGGTGGACTCAATGCTGGTTTGTAGGTATAATTTGCATGCAGTGCAACACACAGGCCTTGTATTCTGAGGAGCATGCCGGCTCCATGACTAACACCCAGTCGTGCTGCGTCTCCTCAGAATCTCCTGTCCACTCCTGGTGTCGCACTTGCTTTGTGTGTGAGGGGACAGGCTGGGATCCTGGAGGCTCGTGTAGCCGAGGAGTCCCCTCCTCAGGATTTGGGCACAGTTCCATCAGGGTTTTCGAGTCACCAGGTCCGTCTGTCTGTCAGCACCTCCAGGCTCGGCTTCCTGGTTCCGGCTCATCATAGACTTGGGGGACAAGGAAGCGTCTTCAGCTCCAGCCCCGCAGGGAGAGGACTGTGACTGTGTCTCTGCTTGTGTCTGACCCCCTTGTTTCCCCACAGTCCCCTCAGCCAGTGTGGAAAACTCTGCTGTCCACACACCACGACAGCGCGGCCCCCACGGTGGAGATGAGTGCAGGTCTCCTGAGGAGAGCTCTGTTTGTTCTTACGCTTCTCTAAGCAGATGGTTCCACCTTGCAGACTCCCTATTTGGCCTTAAAATCCAGATGGCGGCGTATAAACGTAGGGAACACACAGGGAAAGAAAGCACCTCCCCCGACGACATACTGCCAGAAGGAAGGGCAGTTAGCAGCAATTTCATTTTTGCTAAATGTTGCAGAATTTATAAGGAAGGGTATTCAACGAGAAAGAGAATGACTTCCCTGTGGATTACGAAAAGGACGTGAAGTCCCCGGGGATTCTCACTGCACACACCCTCTCCGGCCGCACTAGGGACTCTGGGGTCGGATGAGGACCCCGCCCCGTGTGCCGCAGTATTCACAGTTTCTCTGCCTTGCAGGGCATGGAAGACATCCTGCGCTGCTTCCTCAAAGAAGGCAACGCGGAAATGACCCGCCAGATAGAATTCATCATCAAGCAGCTCAATTCCGGTGAGTGTCGCCCGACCCTGCGGTCGCCATGCGCCGTCAGAGCCTCACGGGCTTCCTTGGCGGGGCTGTGAGCTCGCAGACGAAGTTCAGCCATGTCCTCGAGGCCAGGCTGTGCAAAGATTAACCATCTCTTTATTGTCCTATAGATACGCAGCCAATAAAAAAAGGGTTAAAAGCAATTTCAGAAGCACTTCCCTAACCTTGTAACTTCTCTTTACGGGCCCTTCCCAGGCCTCCCTAAATCCTGTCCCCCTCCGTCTGCCCGGTGACTTCCCAGGGCCTAGGGTCAGCTCATGTGGCAGATGCCAACCTTTCCAGCACCGTGGGAGAGAATGTCCCTGTCCTCATCCCTCGTGCTCACCCCAGAAGCGTGTGTGCCGGTCAGCTGTCCTTTCCATCCCGCTTCCTCCATCACCATGACAACTCAGGCCCACCCTAAGCTGGGGCCTGGCCAGGGCAGCCTGAGGTAGCAGGGTGCTGGGGAAGCAGCCGGCACAGAGGCCTCTAGTGCTGCCAGCATCTGGGGCCGAGGCTGGCCATCACCTGTGTCCCTCTGCACCTGGGAGACCCAGAAGCTCACGGCTGGTCTGTCTTCCGCTCCCAGGTGGCTCCATAGCGGCCCAGCTGGAGGGAGTCTGGGGCTCCTGACTAAGGGGTGGCTAGGGCGAAGGGCCAGGGCTTTGAAATCGTTGCCCCTTGTGGCCCCATTTCCATTTGAATCCCCTCCCCTTCAGTTCTCACAGAGCAAGAATAATTCATCCCAAGCTCAGGTGGGCAAAAAAATAGAGCTTCATGCTCTTCAAGAACTTTGGCTGCAACCCTGCATCCTCATCTGGCATAGAAACATGACATGAAGCCAGACCTGCCTCAGTCCTGGCCCAGGCTGCCCCCGGGAGTGCAGAGCCCTCCTCCAGGCTGGCAGAGGCCGCCCTGGCCACATCTGGCTTGGGATCTTCTGCAGGCCTCCCCTCTGGCAGCCCGAGCAGGTTGCGGGCCCCACTTGCTCTCTGGCCCACGAGATGTCATCTCTCACACGAATCCAGCTCGCACCAGCGTGCCAGAGGGTGATGGGAGGAGACAGCTGCCACCTCTGTGAGGTATCACTTTGCCGGACATCGTGGGCAGAACTGCAGCTGTGCAGCCCTGGTGTTCTGGAAGGCCCGGAAATGCCCACTCTGGGACTTCCTGTTCACACGGGCTGAGAATATTTCTTTTTTCATCTCTAATTCATAGGTAGTCGCACTCTTTTTTTTCTTTCCGTATTTTTGAGGCAGGGTTTTGCTGTGTAGCCCAGGCTGGCCTTGGATTCAGAGCAGTCCTCCTACCTCAGCCTCCCCAGTGCTGGGATTTTAGACCTGCACCACCACCCCGGGCTAAAGTCGCCAAACTACTCTTTACCCATGGGTCAGAGGCTGGATCCAGAACTGCTTGCCCAGGAGGCTTCTCCTTTGAAACGAGATTTCTAAGTCATTGCGCAGTCGATGGATGACCAGGCAGGCGCACACCCCATGCACACCTGTCACCAGTGCCCCGTCCAGGCGGACCTGGGGAGGGCTCCTGGGGACCTCTGTCCCTTCCTGTCCTCGCTGGGAACCCTGGGCCGAGTGCAGGTCGGCACTGCGTCCCTGGCTTAGGACACGTGAGGTGGTCTAGGACATCGCTGCTGTCTCTGCCCTCTTGCGCCATAGTGAACTGGCAGCCACGGGCCGGGTTTTCATGTGTTCAGGCCCAGCGTCAGTCCTCCAGCACTGTTTTTCCAGTACAGTTTTCAGCTCCTCAAGTGCGAAGCTAGAAGTAGATTTTCAGAGCCCAGCCCCACAGGGCGGGCTGGTGAGGCCGGGAACAGGGAGTGTGCAGCCCACAGCGGCCCAGAGCACAGCGCCAGCCCAGGCGTGGGGAACCGGCAGACACCGCTGGTCACGGAGGAGAGGAGGGAGGCGCCCGCTGGTGGCATCCAGCATCTTGAGGAGGGGGGGGTGTCACTGCGCCACTCGGGGACAGCCGGGGCACGGCTGCCCGAGAGGAGGGCGCTGCCCCATCCTGGGGCCCGGGCGGAGCTCGCAGCACGGCTGTCTCGAAAGCCACTTCCTCAAGGTGACGTGGAGTCACCGTTTGTGTGTGGCAAAAAGCGAGCGCGCAGGACCTCAGGCGGGCGCAGAGGGACACAGTGGCCGGTGCCTGCTGTGGCTCCTAGGACTGCCGCTCCCTGGCAGCGGGAGGCCTGGGTGTGTGGGAATCTGGGGACAGATGTCAGAGACCCGCTGGCCTCGCACAGCAGTCGGTGGCCACCTCTGCCTTATGGGGCGGCAGGAACCTGCGTGGCTCCCACTCTGCAAGGCCCAGAGTTTGGTTCCCCGGCGCATCTGCCTGGCCTCTTCTACATTAGCTGAGCCATCTTAACTTAGAGCCTCGGGTCCCTTCTTCCTCCTGCTTCCGTCTCACTTCCTGCCTTCTCCAAGTCTTTCTCTACCTTCATGTCTTGACTTCAAGAAACAAGTGCTCATAAGGAAGGGGCAAGCCAGGTGTGGTGGTGCAGGCCTGCAATCCCAGGGCCCCAGGAGGCTGAGGCAGGAGGTTTGCAGGTTTGAAGCCAGCCTGGGCCACTCGTGAAATCATGTCTCAGAATTTAAAATAGAAGAGGTGGAGGGACTGGACTAGAGCTCAGGGGTTGGATTCCCTGGGTTCGATCCACAGGATGCCAAAAAAAAAAAAGTAAAAGGAAGATATAATAGGGACCCAAGAAGCAGTAGGCCAGGTGCCCTGTCCCTAGAGCCACGTGACCAGGGTGGGAAGGGTCCCCGAATGGTCACCCCCTCCCTGGCTTTGTCACCCAACCCCTAGGTCTTGGGGCTTGGGAGCAGACTCAGTAGGAAACTCAGCTCCCCATTTACATGGAGAGGACCACAGGCAATGCCCTTGTCCCCTCTCCTCACAGGCTGGAGGGTGACCTGGTGTGTTCTGAGTACATGAAGCCACACCTGTGCAGTGCCACACTGTAAATATTTTCTTTCCCTCTCCAAAGTTCCCTCGAGCTGTATGTTGGCTTTTAGTTTTTCCCATGCTACTCTAAATGTATTCTGATAGAAGCAGAGAGATTTGTTAAAAATTGCTAACGATAACATTAATGACGCAAATGTAATCCCAACACTTTGGGAGGCTGAGGCAGGAAGATCTCCTAAAGTTTGAAACCGGCTTGGAATACATAGTGAGACCTTCTCTCAAATAAATAAATCAATAGGTTAAGAGGCTGAAGTGGGCATGACCCAGAGTGGCAGCGACTGTTCTCATTGTCACTGGATTAGCAGTGCCTGGATTCGCTGACTGAGGGTCCCCTGGGTTCTCTGTTACCTACTGATCTTTCCTTTGCAGAAGAGCTGCTGGACGGTGTTCTTGAGTCTGATGACGAAGAGGACGAAGATGAGGTAAGGCAGCCGCTCCGGAAGCTGGGGTCCCCGGGTGGAGGAGGCCTTGCTCCTCCATGTGTCCTCAGTTCCTCAGCAGCCCGGGGGGCTCTGTGGCCGGCACTTGGGGTCTCTGTGGCAGCCGCCAGTGTCCAGGCACCTGTCGTGGTCCAGTGGCCCAGCCTGGCCCTCTAGGAGGGAAGTGCCTAGGGCTCCTGTTCCCCCGGGCTCGGAGGGCTCAGGACATTGGGAGCCAGTGGCAAACATGTCCCAGATGGGGCAGACGGGACAGTGGGAGGCTGCAGGGCTGCAGTGACCGTGTCTGCAGACTGACCGCATCCACGGATAGCAGAGGTGCGTCGTCACCAGCCTGTGGGATTTTAGGACACAGAAAGATAAGTGTTGTGTGTCGTGACTCCCATGGTGTGAAGGGGCACGGCCTGTTTCTACCACTTGGCTCCCTGGTGCATGGCAAAGCCAGCCACCTGGGTGGGCTTTCCTTCTATTTTTTGTTTTTTTAAGATAGACTCTCACTGGGTAGCTCAGGATGACCTCAAACTGGAGATCCTCCTGCCTTGGCCTCCAAGTACTGGGATCACAGGCGTGTATCACCAAGCTGGACTCTGTGTTCTTTTGATACGGGTTTCCTCAGCTGCGGCAAAGCCACCTCCCGGGTGCTCAGAGCAACAAGGCTGGGAGGCCGATGGGTGCTGTCTCCAAAGTGGTGTGAAGGGCAGCGGCTTGGGAACGTGGGTTCTCAGGCGACAGGAGTTGTGCTGTTTTCCCTGCAGGGAACTAGAAAGGGCAGACAGGCTCTCCTGTCCCATCCTCGTGGGGACACACGTCTTGCCCTCCTTCTGTGTGGGGCTTCAGAAAGTCCTGAAGTGACTGTTGGAAGGTCCTGCTGTTTGGGCGAGCAGTCATACAAACATGGACGAGGGAGGATGTATTTTTATTTGAGCTGCAGTCTGTCCGTTTAAAAAAATGGTTCAAAATCTGGGCCATTGTGGCACACACCTGTGATCCCAGCACTCTGGAAGGCTGAGGCAGGAGGATTGAAAGATTGAGCCCAGCCTGGGACAAATTAGCAATTTAGCAAGGCCCTGTCTCAAAGTAAAAAATGTAAAAAGGGCTGGGTGGAGCTCAGTGCAGTTCTGATTCAGTGCAGCCGGGTTTTTGCTTCCTGAGGCTCAGTTGGGAAGACCTGCCTTCTGCCCCAGGCCTGCTCCTGCATGCTGTTCCCTCCATGGGCAGCAGGTGGCACCAGCATTCACCCTGGCGTGCTTCCCAGGCAGCTGGGTGGGACAAGGGCAGAGTTTGGTCCCCTGCGGCACCCTGGCTTGAGGGCACACAGGCTGGCTGGTAATAAAGTCTGCCTTAGAACAGGGTTAGCTGATTACCTCTGTAATGGAAATCAGGAAGGCTTTGGGCCTGACAGGACTCTTGTTCTGTTTCAGCCCGTCTCTTCTGCCACTCTAACACAGAGGACTGTTGAGGAGCCTGTGTTCCCATAGGACTAGGTGTGCACACTAAAATTTGGAATGCCGTACAATTCACCAGTTGTTAAATCTTTCTGCAGATATTTAAAAATATGAAAATCACTCAGGAGGCTGAGGCAGGAGGATCGCTGCAAGTTCGAGGCCAGCCTGGGCTACATAGTGAGTTCAAGGCCAGCCTGAACTGCATAGTAAGATCCTGACTCAAAACACAGAAAATCCGTGAGAACCATTGTCAACTCAAGGCTACACACACACACACACACACACACACACACACACTTTTTTTTTTTGTAATGGGGATCAAACTCAGGACCTTGTGCTTTTGAGGCAGGTATGGTGCCACTGAGCTAAATCCCCAGCTCTCAAAGCCATATTAAAGCAGGCATCTGTGCCCAAAGGCCATGGCCACCCACCCCAGAGGGAACCCAGGCCAGGCAGCAGTACTTCTCTGAGTTACGTTTGAGTGAATGATTACATTGTTTGGTACCAATAATTTTTCCTTATTGTGGCCAAAATTTCTTGTACCTCTATTCTTCCCCTTTACCTGTCACCCTGTGGGGATGTTCAGTTTGCTTCGGCTTTTGTTTTATTTTCGCTACTAATTCTTTTGTTTCTGCATTGTGAGGGGAAATTCACTTGGCCCAGCAGCTGTGGCTAATGGTGGGAACTTCTCTTTGGAAGCCGCTGAAGTCTGTGGACACGGTCAGACAGCGAGGCCTTCATTTAGGTCCTGCAGCTTTTTCTCACCCATCGTGATAACTAGGATTTTTGGCAGATTCCTAGATGAGGGAGGAGAAAAAAAGAAAGGATGGGCTCTTTGGTGAAGGGAAACTTCTCAGAACCATTGTAGCAGTGACACTCCTGTCCCCGTCCATGTGACAGCTCCGAGAGACAACAGAATTATTGTCAGGGCCTTAGAGTCAACCTCATTTTCTTAGCAGCGCAAAATATTTTTAACTTACTGCTTAGACCCAACACACAGATAACGAGGAGGACGTCGCTGTTGTGAGCTGGCTGCTTGGTGACGTGGCGGCACAGCCCGGGGTGGTGGGAGCCAGGGTGAGCCCACACTGCCTCGATCGCCCTGCCTCTGTTTTTTCTCTGAATTTCTCAGAGTCCTGAATTCCTCAAATGTGAGGAGACTCAGTTAAACCTGCAGACACACCCACCTCTGTACTAACGGAGACATCATAGCCTAGAAACGTGGCCGTCCTGATTTGACTTGAAAGCATGGAGAAAATCAGACAGTGAGCAGAACCGTGCTGAAAAACCAAACACATAAACACAGGGGCGGGTGGACGGGGGCGGCTCCACCCAGAGTGTTACTAACGGTGCTGAGGGGCCCAGGGTGCAAATTCCTCAAGCCTGGGAGGTGAGAGAGAGTGGGAGGCTGAGGCGGCACAGAGGCACCTGCTGTTCCTTCATGTGCGTTCCCGGGGAAGGGCCACACTGGAGTGCAAAGGTAGCACTCATAGCGCTGCTCTACCCACACCTGGGAGAGGCCTTGGGCACTTGGGAGGCTGAGGCAGGAGGATCACCATGAGTTTAAAGCCAGCCTGGGCTGGGCTACAGAGTGGGTTCAAGGCCAACCTGAACTACATACTGAGAACCTCAACAAAAACAACAACAAAAATGGAAGAGAACTCAGTGTATCAGCTGCAGCCGAGGAGGCTGCCATGCAGGGCTAGAGGTGGGACCATGAGGCAGAGGAAGAGGGGTTCTCATTCTTTCCTAAATTGCTTCTTGTGCTAGCTTGGCCCGGCGGCCTCAGGGAAGTAAAAGTCATCATCAGCCAAGCTTGGAAATGCTCACTCCGGAGGGGACGGCTGCCCTTTCAGGGCTCACACGCATTGCACCAGACACGTGTGTACCAAGGTCCTTTAGCCAACACATGCGTGCGTCACCCAGGGCCCAGGCAAGTGACGGGCTCAGGAGCCTGGTTTCCTTGTCCCACGGGAAGGTGAGGTCCCCTGTGTCCAGCTCCTAAGTGGCTGCAAGTGTCAAGGAAGGGCTTCCTGTTCTCATCCACAAGACTGGTTTTAAGACAAACATTCCCCCTTCTTAACAAAACAGGTTTCAGTGCCAGCTGAGGCCAGCGATGGACAAGGACTTGACAGGCCCACATAGGTGACAATCATGTGACCCGCACTTTCCTTCTGTTCGAACTTCTGTAATCCAGAAGTCATTCATTATTTATTGAGCAAATATTTGAGGACCTTGACATATCATTGTCCTAGAAAATAATAAGGAAAAGGATGCAAAAGCTAAATCTGCAGACAGGTTTGTGGTTTAGAAGATTCCTGCTCTTGACGAGAGCCGTTGGCTCTGCTGCTCACAGCAGCCTGTGGGGGGCGCCCTGACGGTTCCTCATCGGCCAGGATGCAGAGAGCGGCCATCAGGTGGTCCCACCGGGGTACAGAGTCTTCTTAATTTTGCAGTAACAGACACACTGCCATGAGTTCCCCTCAGAATGCTCCCTCACTTCAAACACGCTCAGCCCATGGTTCTCACCAGTTGCGGCCGCAGCTTTGAAAGTCCTCTTTCGTGAGAGTGTCTTTGGTTTTTCTGTCTCAGCTGCCTCCATGCCCGGCATTGACTCCAAATGTTAACCTTTCATGGTCGTTTTGGCTTGGGTGTGCGCGCCTGATCCAGTGAATTGGGTAGATGAGGACACACAGGCCCGTTCTTACCATGAGCGGCGGCGGCGGCAGCAGCAGCAGCATTCACCGTACGTTTGATCACAGCTCATAAAGACACTGAGGAAAGAAGCCTGCAGAGCTGCTTCTGAAGGTGGCGAGAACATGGGACAAGGATGTTCAAAGAAAGGGAAAAATTTTGAAGGAGATTCCTGGCGATGTGCCTTTGACCGCAATAAGTATTTTAAACGTGTAAGCGTTCACTGTGTATTTTGGTCACCCCTGTCCACAGGCACACAGAGCACAGGGAGTGCTGTGCGCCCCAGACTCAGGCTGAGCCCCTCCTGGGTGCGTGTGTGTCCCGTTTCCTATAAGGCGCACGTGGAAGGCACATGTGGGTGCACGTGTCCGTCTGGGTCCTGGTCCACGTTTGTTTTAGACTGAGGTGGTGTGGATGTGGACACGCGCATGAATGCATGCAACAGTACTGCCTTTTCCCCTCCTTGATATTCTTTGAAAATCCCTCTATGTCAGCCAGTATAGTTGATCTTCTCAACCTACAACTGTGTACATTTTGACTTCTTCAAAAAATGCTGCCCTTATTTACTGGAGCTGTATGGCTTCTCTCTCTCTCTCTCTCTCTTTTTTTTTTTTTTTTTTTTTTTTTTTTTTGAGACAGGGTCTCACTTTGCAGTTCTGTCTGACTTTGAGCTCACTATGTAGCTCAGGCTGGCCTCAAACTCAAAGCGATTCTCCTGCCTCAGCCTCGTGAGTGCTGAGATTAATAGGAATGCGCCACCATGTCCAGTTTATAGCCTTTTCTGATAGCTAGATTCTTGGATGCCACTTCAAAACTGGACAGTGAAAGCTTATTAAGGTGAGTTGC